GAGGCTGTTTGTTGGTCATACTCCCCCCCCCCCCCCCCTTTTTTTTTAAGTGTGCATAAGCTTTGTCACTTCTCCTGTATCAGATCTGTCCTTTGGACTCCATTCTTCTGCAGTACTTGTGAGATAAGTTTTATGGCAGTTTATACTGTGGTACCAATCAAAGCATGCACTTTGGAATGTCTTTCATTTTTCTACAGTCTGTGTGAATATACTAAAAAATATCATCCTTGCTCACAAAATCATATCATTCAGTATTAGTATTGGTGTGGCACTTGAATCACTGGTAACAAAATATAGCTTCTGTTTGGGACCACTGAATTCAATCAGATACCTATCAATTCTTTAAATAGGACTAAAATAAATGTTATTTTTATCCCTATTTACTATGTAAAGTCACAGCAGTTGAGAGAGAAGTAGTTCCTGGAGACCTTTCATAGATGGAATTATTAACTAAGTTATGGTTTCAGAACCTTTTGTCGATGCGTGAACCAGAAAGAAGCCAACTGTAGTTCACAATGCTAAATTTACCTTGTAAGTCTGGCTTCTAGAAAAATGCCATTTATGAAGTGAAGGAATTATACCCTAACTTATGAAATTGTGGCATTTGAAAAATCTTTGAGACAGGATAATGTGGAATCCTGCAAAGGGTACTTCAATTATCCTTTCATAGAGAACCACTACATGCAGACACAGTTTCAGTTTGGGTATAAGTGTTTTCATTTGCCAATAAAGCATTTCATTTGAGCTGAAAATTGACTGGGAGCTGCATTTAAGTGCAGCTTTAAAGATCTACCTTCAAAGAATAAAATCTGGGCAATATCTTTTTTCTTTTTTTTTTTTTTAAATTCTTAACTTGGTAGTGTACAACTCATCAACAGAAATGCTAAAAACATGTAGAACTAGGAGGAGGTAACCCAGATTTTCTACCTATCATAGCTCAAATGCAATTCTTTTTTGCATTCTATGCTATAACATAGAATGAGAGTATAAAATAATTGCACATTCCTTTTTTTCCTGCTTGCTTCTAAAGTAACATGGTTTTCTGTCTTTTTCTCCCCCTTATTTCTTTGTTCTGTTTTTTCTTCTTTCCAACTTCCTGTCTCAGTCTCCTGTCAGCCCTGGCTATGAGGTATGTACTGAATTTACTCTACTCCCTACCATACTATCAGGAGCATCCTCTTTTATGATTACCAGTGTCAATGTGAAGAAATGCAGGAATTTAATCAGATTAGTATATTATAATCTTCAGAACTCAAAAGCATTTTTTTTCTTTTAGAAAGAGTAAACTCAGTGTGAGACCCCAAAGTCCAGATTCCAAAGTGAAGATCATAATTCTTATACTAAACAGTAAAATTAGCTAACATTAAAATATTTTGATACAAAAGTGGCTTTGTCATTTCTTATGCATGATAGAGGTCATTGGTTGGTCTGAAGCTGGTTTTTTTACTGGTAGTAACACATTGAAAGAAAATTTTAACTTCACTTTTAGAACATTGGGAATTTGATGGAGCAATGTAGAAAATAAACATTTTATTTTAAGCTGAACAAACCTGACCTTTAAGTGCTCACCGGCAATAAACTTCTAATACCATAATGCATTGTAATAGCTTTTTGTCAGAATATGGTTTCATAGAAAAAAAAAACCAAAAACAGTCAAGGATTCTGTATTTCTGTGGAAATAACATGAACAGTGTACAACTAAGTTACAGCTATATATAAAAAGAGTATCAAGTCTAATGAGAAACAGTATTTCATGTCAAAGGTTGTCCTCTTTGGCTTTCAATAGGGATTTTCCAAAGAAGTTTGTTTCATGTTTAAAGTTTCAAAAGTTTTTGAAACTATGAAATGTTGGCACCTTTCCCTTGCAGCATATATTTGAGATGCAGCCAGAGAAGATCAGGCTTTGCAAATGTTTTCCTTTTTAGAAATACTACATAGTTAACCTGAGCAATGCTTTCTTACGCTGAAATGAAGATTATCATGGCCAAACATCTTCAAAAGAAATCTCTTCAAAAAGAAAATAACTTTATTTCTTCCTAAAACACATATATTCTCATTGTAGTATGCCTAAGTATCATAGTGTGCCCCAGAATTACAACTCCACAGAATACCCATAAAACAATACAAACAAACATATATAGAAC